TACGTACATTGAATAACCCTACACCCAAGGATAGGATAACATATTGACTTTCTTTATAAGCAACAACACGAAAGAAGCACAGTTGCAGATCATTTTTGAACTAATCATGGACAAATAACACCTGACTACGACCACGGATGAAAAGGGACAAAAAATGGCGCTTATAATTCTTATTTATCTTAACTTATGTTATTCCAGTCTATAACTTTGAGAGAACTTTTGTTTATAGTTAATCATTTGAACAATACATTTCTTTCAGCAATAAGCTTTAATACTTAATATGTGTAGCTGTAGAAATGCACGCTATACATTCGAACATAATTTGCTATTCAAACCAGTTGAAGCTTTATGCTGTTAGTTATGGTTCGTGTTTTAGTTGAAAATCTCCTGACGAAGCTGTAAAGCGATACGTTGATGTCAAATTTAAGAAAAATAACAAATTTGGTGTTATAAGGTCGTTCATTACTAGTGTTTAAATGTCTTTTATACACCAGTATGCACTAATAGATATTCAATAATGAGTATTCTTAATGCTGCAGTTTCTAAATCTTATGCTTATGAAAATCCAAACACTTTGACATCACAAATAAAACAAAAAATTAATATCTGTTATAGATTAACTCAAAAAAGTGATAAACTTAATGTGCTTCTTCTAGTCGAGAAGTTCAAACACACCGCAAACAAAAAATAGTAAATAATACACGGACAATCACCTGGAACAGATTAACTTGAACTAAGGAATGAGACTCAATAATCTGAGTTGTGTTGAAGTCATTATTATACTGCTAAAGTACGTTTTTGCTTCAACACCAAGTAAGAATTGTTAAGATTAGTAACAATATTGGTTAAACGATGGCAGCACAGTAAACTTAACAATGCCTTTAATTTTTATATTTTTTTGATTGAATGAAAGGTTATTCTTTAAAAAGCAGTGTAATTTAATTATGTAAAAACAAAATAAATGAAAACATATTATGTAAAAAAACAAACAATCGATTATACTTTATATATATAATTTTTTTTGTCTGCAATTAAATGCAAGGATACACAATGGGCTATGTGTTCTGTGCCCATCACGGATATCGAAACCTGGTTTTAGCGTCATAAGCCTTCAGACTTATGGATGTGCCACTGAGGAGCCAATTATGATCAAGCCTTCTGTTATGGAAAATTACAAATCATTGTAAAAGAAAAGAGGCTCAGGCCCACAGGCTGTAAAAGAGAAATATCTGACCAAAACAATTTATGTGTTAGATACAACCTAGCTAGAATAAAGGTTACGCCAAGTTCACCCCAATAATGTTTTGTTTAACTTAGTCATTATAATATTGTATCTATAGTTTAGCTTGGCTGTTTTATGTTTTTATTTTTAGATATTACATCTCAATGTGGCTCGTCCGTTTATTTTAAATTGTTTTGTATTCTTTTAGGTATCAAACTTTACATCGCTGGTTCCTTTATTCATATTGTGTTATTTGTTAAATGTCACAGAGTCATGAATTAGGTTGGTCTCTAGTTATTATTCCTGTTATGGTATTAAATATTATAAAGAAGTGATGTATTCACTATAACTTTATGCATCATAATAACTAGTTGAAATGGTGATTCGTAAAATGTCTTAAATAAGCACGATTACTAAAAATAGCATTATATAAATAAAATAATACTGTCTGTTGTATGTCCATGTAACTACTTCTATATAAATAAAATAATACTGTCTGTTGTATGTCCATGTAACTACTTCTATATAAATAAAATAGTACTGTCTGTTGTATGTCCATGTAACTACTTCTATATAAATAAAATAGTACTGTCTGTTGTATGTCCATGTAACTACTTGAAGTGTGAGGGATGGATCCTCACCAAAATTGGTATGGAGTATATACAAATTTTAGTTTTGCATTTTGTGTTTTGCTGTTTTTATGGGCGTTTTTTTACCACTACCTCATTTACTGTGGATGGATTTTCACCAAATTTGGCATTAAGGTTTGTTAGGTCCATGTGGAGATAAGTTCAGAGTTGTGGTTTCACATTTTGTTTTGCAGTTTTTATGTGCGTTTTTACAATTACATATAAGGGAAGCAACTTTTCATCTCCTGAGATAACCTTTCATCAATCATGAATTTACATAGCTTCCTTCCTAGGAAAGGGTACTCCAGCTAGTAATAAATATGCTTTGAATACAAGGTATTTATTTTGTTTGTTGAATTTTCGCGCGAAGCACTACGTGCACTAGATGTTCCTAATATTTAAGTGAAAGTCTAGAATAGAGGGACGGATAGTCAACATCGTGTACCGCTAACTTTCGAGCTACTCTTTATCAACGAAAAATGGAACTGACCGTCACATTATAACAGCTACAAGGTGGGAAGGGTGAGTATCTTCGACCAGGGAAATTGATCCCATGACTCACAGATCATGAGCCGAACGTCCTAGCCCCTAAGACCCCGCTAGGCCCAAATTTAAGAAATATGGAATATTTTAGCCTAATATTTATCCAAAATTAAAAAACAAAAAACTCTACGTGATTATAGAGTTTGACCAAATACTGACGATTTTAAATAATAATTCTAATATTTATCCTGTTCATTTGTCTGTATACATGTCTCTAACATTTCGAAAAATATTTTGATAAATGTGGCCATGAAATGGATAGCAGAAGTTTTCTCAATCACCAGAGAATGAGTATATTAACCTTATATTATGATATTTTTTATGGGCGCGTGTAATTAACACCACGTTGTTGAAAATCAGATTATATGTAACAAATGAAAACTGCCAACTTGCGTTTTAAAGCACTAAGAAATCAAAGAAACAAATTACTGATAAACGTGAATAATTCATCATCCTTACATGTCGATATTACTTGAAGCAAATGATAGAGTTAAGAAAATTATTTTTTAACTTGAATACATTTTATAGCTAACAATGATGTGCGTGACCAGCTCAATCAAGACACGAGGCTCGCCCACTGTACGTAATAAATGTTATATCGATTTACAATGTCTTTATAATGATAACACTATACTCCACATTACAGTGACCACACCATATTTCACTTTATAGTGACCATACCATATTCCACGTTACAGTGACCATACCATATTCCACGTTAAAGTGACCACACCATATTCCACTTTACACTGACCACGCCATATTACACGTTACAGTGGCCATATCATATTCCACTTTACAGTGACCACGCCATATTCCACTTTACAGTGACCATACCATATTACACGTTACAGTGACCATACCATATTCTACTTTACAGTAATCACGCCATATTCCACTTTACAGTGACCACACCATATTACACGTTACAGTGACCACACCATATTCCACTTTACACTGACCACGCCATATTACACGTTACAGTGGCCATATCATATTCCACATGCTACACCATATTCCACTTTATAGTGACCACACCATATTCCACTTTACAGTGGCCACGCCATATTACACTTTACAGTGACCACACCATATTCTACTTTACAGTGACCACGCCATATTCCACTTTACAGTGACCATACTATATGCTACATTACAGTTACCACACCATATTCCACTTTACAGTGACCATACCATATGCTACATTACAGTTATCACACCATATTCCACTTTACAGTGACCATACCATATGCTACATTACAGCTACCACACCATATTCCACATTACAATGCCCACACCATATTCCACTTTACAGTGACCATACCATATGCTACATTACAGTTACCACACCATATTCCACTTTACAGTGACCATACCATATTCCACTTTACAATGACCACACCATATTCCACATTACAATGACCATACCATATTTCACTTTACAATGACCATACAATATTCCACTTTACAATGACCATACAATATTCCACTTTACAATGACCATACAATATTCCACATGTTTCACATACATTGTCTCGGTTAAAAGTAATGGAGAACTGTAAAAAATCAAACCTTGTTTATTAAGTTTTCCTGGTGTACCTAAGAAAGATATAGTTATAAAGAAAACTAGTGATCTGAAAATCCAAGTTTTATTAAAAATTGATTCTATTGCTCTTTTAACTTTACTAATGAACAGTTGTTCGTGTTCCAAATGTTCATGTATATTGTTAAAATGGTAAATTGCTTATTTTGTAAGAACGCCTTACAACTTCTGTCACGATACGATGATATAAGTAATGAATTTTTTCAATTTTAGCTAAAACGTATAATTTACAATTTAATTTAACCGTGTTCTTTATTTTTTTCAGACACATTATGCTACTATGTTAAGAGTAAAAAAAACACCAGAAAAACCTATGTTTTTGGCACAATTAAAGGTCAACTGTTTATTACTTACAGCCGACTAGTTTCGGTAACACAGTTACCATCATTAGGACTAGTATATACAGTGGTGGGGGCGTTTAAACTGGAACACTATGATCTGCAGTATGTAAACCGAAACTTTAAGAGAAACTAATTGAGAAGGATGAGTAGGACGTATAAATTTAACCGTTCTAATTTTTTAAATTAAAATTCAATTTTGCAGGTGTAATGGACAAGAAGCACATTAAGGCTATTAGCATATTTTATTGACAAGTTTCAGAGAGATAATCACGTTGATTTAATTAATTGGAAAAGCAAAAAGCATACGGTTTTGAGACTAAAACATTTCCTGGTGGTTTTACTCTCTCTTTTATTTTGCTAAAAGCACGTTTCACACACACCAGTCATACAGGATAAAACATTTTAGTACTTACCTTGTAAGCATTTCAGATGAACAAAAAAGGTACTTACCATCTATTCGAAGTAGAGAAGAATAAAAGGAAATACCATACCAAAATACAAGAAAAAGAAACTTCTGTGATTAGCTTCAAGAGAGACCATTACAAATGTTATGTATAAAATACACGTTTTGAAACTAAAAACTTTTTTTTTAATTATCTAAACAAAACAATTCTGATGACAATAGATACGTTAAGGAATTATGTTTATTTACATATCGAAATGTGTTAAAATTTAGTAACGTTTTTAACGTAAATATTCGTGCTGAAATGTAACGTTATCGTATCTCGGCATAAAGCAGTCCTCTATTCGGTCCGAGCATTTGGTGAATTCTGATAGGATAAATTCATACACTCGTCTTGTAACATCAAACACAAATAATGATTTAAAACTAAAATAACTCTGACAGGCTTATTTTGTGAGATAATGAAAATTAGGAAGGATTAAAAACTAAAATAATACGGACGGCAATACTACTTTCTTCGTTCTTTCCAGACAAATGTTATTGACCGTGTTAAGTTCTATGAAAAAGAATTAACTGAATTAGGGAAACATTTAAGTTTAATCAATCCAAATTATGATTTTAAATGACCTTTATATAATAAAGGGCTCAATAAAGTATCTTAAATCAGTTATGGTGAACTGTCTGGATTGCATTTTATGAACAAATATTTAAAACTATTTAACTATTATAAATGATTCTAGTAGGTATAACACCTGGTTACATTTTATCACAGATATTGAAAAATTAAAAATTGTAAAACATTTTGTCGAATAAAATAAGTTTTAAAAAAGATATCAAAATAACAAGTTCGTGTGATACGTTTTAGAATATTATAATACTTCCCAAAAATATATATTATATGGATTATAAGTGTATTGTACAGTTTACTGAATGTTTTACTATGTGGGTATAAGTGTATTGTACA